CGACAAATCCTACCGAACACGCCCGACGTGTTGCTGAGAAAACCCGATTTGGTCCCCAGGATTCTCCGGACACTGTCATGGGTTTTCCAATTCTCGTCGTGTACACAATCAAGAGAGCTCCTAAGTAAGAGTTTTATTTAGTTGTAGTTATGCATGACTGAAACCTTCAATATAAACTATGCTATAATGAATTTTTTTTAATTTGTAAACAAATCTTTTTCTGCAGGAATGAAGAAGAGTCTTCAGATTGCGCCGACGGTTCAGAGGCGACCACCTGTTGCCGCCGACCAAAATTCATAAACTTCCGAGGTACAGAATGGTCTGATCGTTGGATAATCGAGCCACAGGGATACGATGCCTACGAATGTGTCGGGCCTTGTACCAATAGGGGTCATGTGCGGACGGGGCGGGATCTTCTCGATCTCCTCCAGAGGCCCAGGACGGTGTCGTGCAAAGCGTCAAAGACATCCCCTCTACCGATGATGTACCTCGTGAACAGAGATGGTGTAACTGAAATAGTTGTCGAAAGTATTCCTAATATGATTATTGAGGAATGTAAATGTACGATATGAATAATCAATAATAATAATAAAATTATTATTAATATTATTATTATTATTTATTATTAATATTAATTAATAGTAATTAATAAATATAAATTAATAATACAATAAGTTTATAATAATTGTATATAGAGATATTTTGATTTCTTTTATTTTATTGAAGCTTATACTGTATTGAAAATATTTCTTGATACGGCGTATAAGTGCGAAAGACATTTCAACAATTTAAACAATAAAACAAGTTGTGGACAATACTGTATAGGCCTGCATAAGTTTAAACGGTAAAAATGAGAAAGTTTGCGAGTGTCATCATTTACGTTTCACGTCTTTTGACATTGCACTCTGTCTACAAGTTTTCTGTCATAGGCTGAGTGAGGATATATGTAACCGGTCAGTTCTGATCTTATGTTGTTAATCCATGTGTTTCTTGGTTTCCCATTCTCTTTTGTAAGATCAGGAAAACACTGGTTGTCGACACAGTAACCTGAAACAAGGATACCTTGTCAT